ACCCAGCAGTTTTAATCATTCCCTTATATCTTCAGACAATGCTCAGATAGTTTCCTTGTGAGAATTTAATAGCACAAGAAGTACAGCAACATAAGGTCATTATCAAAGCAGTTCTATCCTATTAAAGCAATGGAAAAAAAAATATTTTCAAAGAACCAGCAGCAACATTGTATATATCTACAAATTCCCTTTAATCTATTTCTATAGAAGCATTGCAGAAAGATATGTTTTAATGCATTAAAAAATAAGGGGCCTGTTCACAGCGGGTCACACAGAACTGATTTTGCAACCCAGTTGTAAAATGTTGGGTGCAATACCTTTTAAGGATAAAATTATCAAGTTCACTTAAGGCAAGAAGATTGCAAAATCAACAATTGCAACTGACTCACAATTTTCTAATGATTATAATAAATTGATTATTTACTAAGTATTGACTTGTAAGAGATTAATAAAATTGACCCAGGGTGATGGTTATTATCAAGAATTTTAGGTCACACACTCCTATTATTCTGAATTCAAAGGAACACTGTAGGCACTACAACCTTTTCATGTCATTGAAGTGGTTGTAGTGCTTGGAGTCCCCTGATACTGTCCTTCTATTCAATGTTAAACCATTTTTAAGCAATTTAACGCTAAATAAGGGTTTTTGGCCACCCACATCCTGACTCCTACTGGAGGTATGGCTAAGGCAGAGATTACACACTTCCTTCTAGCCATGCCAATTCATACCAGCAATTGTCGCTGTGTTACGCTTAAAGCACAGCCACCCTACCCTACTTGGTTAGTAATAAAAATTAAAAATTGTTTATTGCTAAATGAAGGATGGAGCCAGGGGATTCCAGACAATGTAACTACTTCAATGAGATGAAGCAGATAAGTGCCTACAATGTCTCTTCAAGAGCCCATTATGATATCATGAGAAACCAGAGTTAGAGGTTTATATTGACAACAATAACATAGAATAAGGGAAGGCAAACTTTTGCACTCCAGATGTTGTGGACTACATTTTTCCATATTGCTACTACAGCCATAATGCTGGTAAAGCATCAGGGGAGATGTAGTCCACAACATCAGGTGTGCCGAATGTTGACTACCCCTGGCTCAGAAATATACTGAAATTTGTTGTCTTCCTGCTCACTTTATCACCACTTTCTAATACGTGAATACCTCCATAATGTTAGCACTGGGTGCAATATGATAAATAATTCTTTATTTTTATTTTTTTAATTTACTTGTGTATGCATTAATGCTTGATGTACGCATGTATACAGCTCTCTCAAGAGTAAAGTATAAAGATAAATAGAAATCATAGAAAACTAAACAAATTGGACTACTTAAAATAAAGTAATTTCAAATAGGTAATACATCTTGGACTTTGGTTGTTCTCCTCGAAACATGAAAACAAACACTTAAACAACAAGTAAACACCATCCATCATGCAAGAATGTCTGTCTGTTTATTGTAACAGATGCTTTGTTCTCACTAACAATATCAAAAGCCTTAGCAGTTAGAGTTTAGCAGCTCTCATCCTGAATACATGTGTAAATATATTTGAAAGTAGTCTCTAAGTTACTCAACATGATAGGGATGGGACAGAAATCATTTTGTTTAGTTGCATTCAGGCCAGTATCAGTTGCAGTATTAACTCCAATGTAAGGGGGTCACAGAGGAATGAAAGCAATATGTCGAAGGACCTTGGATTGCAGTTTATGATTGTCATCTGGTTCAGTAGATGAAATGTAATCAGCTCTGATAATATGTTAACAGTCAGATGCCTGCTACTAGACTGCCAGGAATGAGATCCCTGTTTGTTATGATTGTTGAACAGCAATTAGCAAGGTACAAATAGAGCAAAACAAGCAATATATGTAATAAAACTTTCAGAGTTAGAATTAGAGAGGCATGAAAATACAAGCGAAACCTGGAGGCATTTAAATGTGCATAAAACCCTCAGAAATTCACTACCAACAGCAGTTGACCTACCTAACTACAGTCTGCACTTTACAATCTGTACAGTTTGCACCGTTTTGATAGGCACTTACCACAAATTTATCTATGGCCAATAGCAGCTGGGAGAGGCATCTGATCTCCTGGCTCAGGGCTTACAACTCTGAGGAAATTCTGCACCCCCCACTTTGGACTGATGGGGGATATCCCAGTCCCCACTGGGACAGCTACATACCCTGCACTGTTGGGCTCATATCCAGATAAAGACTGCATGGATGGTTCAAGATGGCTACCACGTTAAAGCTTTCACACAGCCAGGAGACACAGGGAGGTCAGGCATGGATGGACCTCTTTGAAGCTAAATTTGACAAGCTATGCCAAGTATTCTTGCACCAGATTGCAACTAAGTCTCCATTCTCCCACACCACTGCACATCCACCGTTGCACTCTGCTGCTGGCACATTGCTCTTCTTCTGGGCTGGGGGCTCATTCGGAGATCCATTTGACCCAACGTCCATTTACCCAGAGGGCTCTCCATGATTTGGAGTTCCTGAGGGTCTGCGATCCAGCCATACGGCACAAAAGAGACTGTCTTCCTACTGTAGTCGAATATTGGAATTGGGTGACTTTTAACTGATGCCATAATGTTTATGGCATAAGCAATGCCCTGCTTTCACCAGTTCTTTTACTTGTTTATGCATTGCTTTGATCTCAGTGCCACATCTCTTTATTGTCCCTGATACCCAGCGGTACCTAAACCTTTTTTAACTCTTCCTACCCAGAATGTTATTATGATTATATATTATTATTAGGTATCTCCATATTTAGCAATTTAACTCCAGTGCAAGCACTCAATACCAGCTAGGACTGGATATGCATGTTTAGTTTGGTATTTATATTTCTATTACTTAGACTATATTTATTATTAATTTTCTTTCAAACAAAAAATGGTGCAGCATATCTTAACTGCTCTTACCTATCTATACTTATCTTATGGCATGTTCTGTGTCATTACCAAAGCATTTATTTAAAACTGTACAGTAAGACACAATAATTGAAAAAAATAAAACATAATTATATAACTATATATATACTTGCCAGAGCTCAACCTAGTGTCTGATCTGCCAAACATACTAATAATTTGTTAATGGTGATAATGACTAATAACTAATCATATGAATTATCTTGCTACCTTTCCATTACTGATAGAAAAAGTGAGCTAGTGAGATAGGAACTCAAATACTCAAATACCATTTATTTATTTTTTGGTCAGAGCAGAATGAAAGACATTGAGGAGCAGAGAGATAAAAAGAGATAAACATAAAGGAACAAATGAAGTGTACAATTGTGGAGTATATGAGATAGACATAAGCACATAGAGATTGAAACAGACAAAGAAAAGATGAAATGGATTATTTGCTGAAAATATTGTTCTTCATAAGAAATTAAAAAAAAATAGTCTGCAAATGATCAGTTAATTCTAAGATGTATATATCTGTCTATATTTTGCTAATTATTTAAAATGAAAAATCAGACTGCATTGATTACATTGATAACTCACCATTATTCCGCAATACAAAATGGTGGGAGACAGGAACATGGAACCTTGTGAAACAACCTGAGAAGAATAGAGTAACAGTGCTTTTAGTGTTGCTTTAAGAAAACATATATCCCTTCATTAGAAAAATAGGTTTTGCCCTTTGATGAATGGTTTATTTGAAGAAAAGCAATTTAATGACAGAATTTTATATTGGAATTTATTTTAAATAAATCCTGTATGTTTTTAAAATACATATAAATAGAAAAAATAAAAGAAGGTGGAATAAAATCCCACCTAATGGGGGCGCTAAGCGCTAGAGAAAATGATGGTCTAATAGGGGACTATAGACATTAAAGAGTAAATACTCTATGGAGACTTTGAAAAATGTGGATAGTATAAAAATACAATTTATTTTGCATCACAGTGCAATAGATATATGAAAAAAAAAAAGGAGTAAATAGTAAAGTGCATAAACATCCAATGCAAAGATAATAACAATATATAGTCCTATTGTGAGACCTGGGAACAAAAGCCCGGCATCAACCACTAAACAAAACAGTAATAAGTAAAAAGATGAACTAAACAGCCCTTAGTCGCGACTTCCAGGGCTGAAAGATACTTGCAAACTGGATCGGTAGTGGTGATATTGTGGTCTCTGGACTTAGGTTGGATGATAGATGAGGCTCAACGCGTTTCGTCCCGCTTTGTTCAGGACTTCCTCAGGAGCTGTGGATATCTTCAGTTCTTCCGGAGTCTTCTTTTATCTTCAAATTTTCGCGCTCAATTAAGCCATTACGCATGCGCAAAAGGACACCGGCTTCCGTCGAGATTGTTGCCGGAACACAACTTCAATGCGCCCGCCTCCAATCACTATCGGGAAATGACCAATGCGCATGCGTAGCCAAATTGATGTGTGTTAAAACTTTATTAGCATCCGAATAGAGGGACACATTGAAACACATAAGCTACATTGATAGCAGTTGCATGTGTCGATCTATTCGTAACAATGGATGCTTACAGGCAGAATAATATAACCTAAGCGTGCCACAAACTGGACATATGTATGAAAAAAATGATTAGATATAAAAAAATAATAATAATTAACTCTAAAAAATAGAATTTAACAAAAAACTCTAGAAAATATAATTTAAAATTTAAAAATGTTGTATGTATCAATCAATTATGTGGCAAACCTTACAATCTAGGGTCCAAAAATGGACAGAAGTATTACCTCACCATTGGAATATATATAATAGGTGAGAAGTCATTCATAATAATCTGAATATAATATCCAGAAATTAATAATTCTATAACACTAGAAAAATATATTGTAACCAGTAAATATCACATAAAAGCTAGAATATCTAGATCTGTATTTAGACCTAGTGGAGTGGAGGATTTCATTTTGTAGATCCATTCGGTTTCTTTTTTGGCTAGTGCTTTAATGGTGTCACCACCACGCCAATGTGGAACAACCAAGTCGATACCTAGACACACAAAACTGTTAAAAACAAAAGTGGAACATTGATTACAGTGTCGAGGGAGTAAATAGTAAAGTGCACTTTTTTTCTTTATACCAATCTTAATTAAGAGAACATTTTTATGGTATAAAGAAAAAAAGTGACAAACACAATGTCCCTCGACACTGTAATCAATGTTCCACTTTTGTTTTTAACAGTTTTGTGTGTCTAGGTATCGACTTGGTTGTTCCACATTGGCGTGGTGGTGACACCACTAAAGCACTAGCCAAAAAAGAAACCGAATGGATCTACAAAAGCTTTTATGTGATATTTACTGGTTACAATATATTTTTCTAGTGTTATAGAATTATTAATTTCTGGATATTATATTCAGATTATTATGAATGACTTCTCACCTATTATATATATTCCAATGGTGAGGTAATACTTCTGTCCATTTTTGGACCCTAGATTGTAAGGTTTGCCACATAATTGATTGATACATACAACATTTTTAAATTTTAAATTATATTTTCTAGAGTTTTTTGTTAAATTCTATTTTTTAGAGTTAATTATTATTATTTTTTTATATCTAATCATTTTTTTCATACATATGTCCAGTTTGTGGCACGCTTAGGTTATATTATTCTGCCTGTAAGCATCCATTGTTACGAATAGATCGACACATGCAACTGCTATCAATGTAGCTTATGTGTTTCAATGTGTCCCTCTATTCGGATGCTAATAAAGTTTTAACACACATCAATTTGGCTACGCATGCGCATTGGTCATTTCCCGATAGTGATTGGAGGCGGGCGCATTGAAGTTGTGTTCCGGCAACAATCTCGACGGAAGCCGGTGTCCTTTTGCGCATGCGTAATGGCTTAATTGAGCGCGAAAATTTGAAGATAAAAGAAGACTCCGGAAGAACTGAAGATATCCACAGCTCCTGAGGAAGTCCTGAACAAAGCGGGACGAAACGCGTTGAGCCTCATCTATCATCCAACCTAAGTCCAGAGACCACAATATCACCACTACCGATCCAGTTTGCAAGTATCTTTCAGCCCTGGAAGTCGCGACTAAGGGCTGTTTAGTTCATCTTTTTACTTATTACTGTTTTGTTTAGTGGTTGATGCCGGGCTTTTGTTCCCAGGTCTCACAATAGGACTATATATTGTTATTATCTTTGCATTGGATGTTTATGCACTTTATTATTTACTCCTTTTTTTTTTTCATATATCTATTGCACTGTGATGCAAAATAAATTGTATTTTTATACTATCCACATTTTTCAAAGTCTCCATAGAGTATTTACTCTTTAATGTCTATAGTCCCCTATTAGACCATCATTTTCTCTAGCGCTTAGCGCCCCCATTAGGTGGGATTTTATTCCACCTTCTTTTATTTTTTCTATTTATGTTTATTATAGGTTTTTAGAGTGTACCTAGAGGGTGGCAGCTTCTTGTTTAGAGTTCTATCTGTTTTTTGGTTCTATTTTTTATTTTCTTTGTTTTTAAAATACATTTTCCTTATAACTATATTTATTATTATAAATGCAATATTATTTAGGAAAAGAAAAAAGAAAGACAAAATAAATGTATAAAAGCCCCCATTAGTTTTTATTAGCATGGTTTAGCTTTGCACCATTATTTTCAGGGACACATAAATCACTTAATGGTTTGTCATAACGTAATATTGAAAGAAAATTGCTGTGTTAACAAAATCCACGTTCCTTGCAACAAATAAGGTTATATTTAATAATAATTTAATAGTTTTTGCTTTATTACAATAATGATCACTGTTAAATAAAGAAAATGATTGCTTGTTTTTCCACATTACTATGAGTATTATTATAGCACATTTTTTACAAAGTAAGACAATGTCAGCTTAAAAAAGGGAAAGTTCTTATTAAACATCCCATCTATAGGGATTAAAACTTGCCAGCAGTGAAAATTACAGTGATTTAATTACAACTGTAGAGCATCTAAAAGTACACCAGGGTGATCATTTTTAACTCTCATAAAAATGCTCTGTACATTCCGCCCCAACATTAAGACAGATGCGCAGGACTCCCAGCGGGGTCGCCATTGGCACAACTAGCATAATTGATGACACCCGAAATAAACATGGCCATTTTAGAAATCGGTGCTCCTGCCCATTAAAAGGGACATGTCAGCATGGTGTAGAGCAGGGATACGCACCCTTCAGAACTTCAGATGTTGTGAACTACATCCCCCATAATGCTCTTGTGACAAAATCCACTATTTTATCTGCATAGGAGATATTCTCCTCCTAAAGTCACTAACAGGTTCCTGAACTTCATTCATGTTTTCCCCTGCATTCAGTAGTTAAATCTACCGTACACCGACCACCCCTGGCTCATTTACTACAAAAAAAAAAACAGGATTAAGTGCTCTCTCTGTGTGTCAGCCATTTGTATAACCGAACGCCACGTGTTGGAGAAAACGGCGGCCATCTTGTCGCATGAACGCAGGCAGCGGGACTTGGTCATTGAGTATCTGGAACTCTAAGTCGGACACTTGACCACACGAACATCGGTAAAACCATGCAAATGCCTGCTTCTTTCCGCGACAAGCCAGGAGAGCGCTGTTTGATAGTTTTCTTCGTGTGGACAAGACGAACAAACGCTACCTATGAGTCAGGGAAACCATTCAACAGTTTATTCCTATGGAACTCCCAAAATTGACTGACTGCTACCACTAAACCTCTGGAACTGTTTTGGGCATATACCTCATGAGCGGTCGGTCAAAACTTTACCCCGGTGGCGATTCTGCTGTATTTGTGGGACCTGAGCGCTATTTGGACAACTTGGGTACTCAGATCCAGGCTCTCTGGAGATATAACATTTGTCGGGGTTGCTATATCTTTATTATGCATTTTTATGTGTTTTCATATTTTATGTAATTTATGCCTAGTCATGCTCACACTGTAATTTGTAGACATTTTGTGTGAGTGTTCTGGGTGTGTTTTCCTGCCTCCCTATTTTGTATATAAGTGAGCCAGTTGGCAAGATTAAACACATTAATTTCTACCCTTCATCAAGTCGAGGCTGATGTTTGGGGAACTTGGGCTATAATCACTACTGCGCTTGGGACTCAGGAGATTTAAAACGGATTTACTCAGTCCGAGTATAGAGGATTCGTTACACCGGTGGCAAGTGGCAGGATTCGTCTCCCGAATGGATGTCCTGAAATAAAAGGAAAAGTGAATGGCCCGGCAACACAAACATCTCAAACAAACAACATTAAAGGAATTGCTGGAAGCTCTGTGCATAGTGGCAAGTAACAATCCGAAAGCCACAATAATTGTCGAACTGGTGGAGAGCGACCGAACCAGTAACGCAGAGATGAGCAGCACCGAGGAACAGAGGTGGGAGTGATCCAAGTGACCAAGGGACAGTTAGTGGTACCCCGTAAATACCATGCTGAACTACTCAGAATCAGTCACGATATACTCTTAGCAGGCCACTTAGGCATAAGGAAGACTAAGGACCGATTAACTCAGGTGTTCTTTTGGCCCGGAGTCACCAGGGACTTACAGCAATATTGTAGGACATGCAATGTGTGTCAAAGGATAGGAAAGAGGGGTGACCATTCTACGGATAAACTTAGACCATTTCCCATAGTAGAAGAACCCTTCTACCGGGTAGCGGTAGACCTGGTAGACCCCTAAGCAAGCCTAGTCCATCAGGGAAGAAGTATATTCTTATGGTCATGGACTAAGCTATGCTGTACCCTGAAGCCATAGTCCTCTCCAACATTCATGCAGAGACCGTAGCGGAGGCCCTGGTGCAGGTCTTCACTCGGGTAGGATATCCCTGGGAAATTGTATCCAATCAGGGGACCTAGTTCCCAGCGGCATTTACTCAACAGCTCTGGCAGAGCTGTGGGGTGAAACCCATATTATGCTCCCCTTATCACAGATTAACGGGCTTTGTGAACAATTCAATGATATGCTTAACCACTTAAGGACACAGGACATGTGTGACATGTCATGATTCCCTTTTATTCCAGAAGTTTGGTCCTTAAGGGGTTAAACAGATGCTACGAATGATCACAGAGTCCTGCCGAAACTGGGAAAAGATTCTTCCCCATCTACTATTCGCGTACTGGGAAGTACGCCAGTAGTCGACCGGATTCTCGCCCTTTGAACTATTGTATGGAGATTTCAGAGACCCCTGGACCTTGTACAAGAGCACTAGGAGGGAGATATGGGAGAAGCAGGTACACCTATAGTGCTTTATGTGCTGGAGCTGCGGGACCGGATGCAAGCCCTAACTAAGTCCATTTGAGAGAACTTATGGGCGGTCCAGCAGCGCCCGAAACATTGGTATGACCATGGGGCTAGAGATCGCATTCTAGAGGCTGGGCAAAAAGTGTTAATGCTAAGGCCCACTAAAGCAGATAAGCTCCAAGGAGCCTGGCAGAGTCCCTTCAAGGTAGTCGAGAGAGTAAGCGACACCACCTATATTGTGGTGAAATGCTCGGATGAGAGGATCAGAAGGTCCTTTCATGTGAACATGATTAAGCTGTATCTAGAATGGACAGAAGAGGTATCAGCAGTTTGCGCCCCTTCCTTCGAGGACAGTGAAGGTCTTCCCTTACCTGATATGCATTCCACCAACCCTGTTTGGGTAGAGCAAGTCTGTCTAGGAATTGACTTAAACCCCTCTGAAAAGAAGCAAGCCTTCCAACTGCTAGAGGAATTCTTTGATATGTTTTCTGCCCTACTGCGGTACACGGCACTGGCGATACACCGAGTAGAAACCCCAGGTCAGGTACCTCTCTGGCAACAACCATATCACATCCCCGAAGACATTAGGAAGAGCATGCACAAAGAAATCCAGGACATGCTAAAATTAGAGGTAATAGAACCTTCCCAGCGTCATTGGGCTTCCCCGTGATTTTGGTGCCTAAGCGGGAGGGCACGACCTGCTTCTGCAATGACTACCACAAGCTCAACGACCAGTCGGTTACCCAGGGTAGATGAGCTATTAGACCGGATGGCAGGAGGGAATTATTTCACCACTTGTGCAAAGGGTATTGGCAGATCCCCATGGAGCCTGACGCTATTCCTAAGTCAGCATTCATCACCCCATTTGGCCTGTATCAATTCATGGTTATGCCATTTGGGAAGAAGAATGCTGGGATGTATGAAAATCTGATTTAGAATTTTAAGTCATTGTTA